ATATTGGCTGGCGCCACTAGCGCGAGATTCACGCTGTGAGCGTGGATGTCTCTGGATGAAATTTAATTCTGGCGCTACTAGCGCGAGTTCCACGCTAGTAGCGTGGGGCTTCAGCTTAGAAACTTTCAGTTGGGCTTCTTTTTGTCGTGTTTTCCTACAAAAATCAAAAGGAAATCAGTTGTGTGATCTCTGATTGAGATTTATCAAATAATCAGTAATTCTAGCCCTTTTTATCCAGGATTGATCAAGATTCTTTCTCTTTTTGTCTTAGATTTATACATATGCTGGAGGCATATCAGTTTTCGTAATTTTTTTATTAAAAAAGTAATATTTAAATTTTTTTTCCATTAAGGAGATGAAAATTACTTTCAAAATATTGAAATTATTCTCAAGGGTTTGAAGTTTTATAAAAATCTTTTTAAAAAATGCCATAAGGGGATTTTCCTTGTTCAAAAACTCGTTTTAAAAGAATGATATTATTTTCATAAGATTTATAACACTAAGAAGCAAGAGATTTATGAATGAAAATCTTATTATGATTAAATATGCTATAACATTCAAAGAATATATATTCTACCAAAATTTGCCCTGTATGCAATGACAAGCTCAAGGAAGCAAGATCAAATAGGGCATTTTTATCATGCTAAGCATACTTCTCAAGTAAGGAAGGCATCTGTCATGTAACTGTGTAAATTCAACAAGTGTCATACGATCATCTATCCAAATTATAGAATACCAAAAAAGATTAGGGATAGTGATACTTATCAATTATTGTAGAGTGTGATGCTCCTCATCTATGATTATTCTTACTACTTGAGCTTTCTATTTGTGAGCATGTGAAGAAAGTCTCTTTTATTTCTCTTAATTCTTCTCTTTCTTTATCCACATATGCTTGGCACTTCAATATTTGGTTGCCACGTTTGATTACCATTTGCAAAGCTAATTCTTTAAGCTTTCCAAATCAAAGGCTAGCATGGAATATCATTTAAGCACATAACAAAGAAGTGAAATCATTTTTGAGCACAACATGTTTAAAATATTAATTTTATGGGAAAATATTTTCTGATGTTGTTGGAGACATCTTATCTTATATCATAGAGATTGTAACACCCCGTTTGCAGCCGGTGAATTAACCTACATATGGTACACTAGCGCTCTACAAATTATGAATTAAGCGGAAGGCTTAACATGCATATTTATTCTAGTTATAGCAAAAATACGAATAAACTTTTTTCTTTTATCCTAATAATGTTCTGATTTACCTTACATTAACAATTTAACGCATATCCTATTATTCCGTGCATTGCCACGAACAAAACTTAATTCCAAATATTATGATTTGCACAGTCCCATACTACATATGTCTACTCTAGTTATTTACGTACTGGACAGATATATTCCATTCAAATATGATCATAAAGATCATTCCGAACAGAAAACCTACGGACAACATAATGGCTGTAATTCGGATAAATCCAAATTCCTATAATACAAAAAATATACACAAAACATAATTAAACATTATCAAACTGAGAATTCATTCATGAATTCACACAGAATCTGACTCAGTGTCAGTCCTGAACACAATTAAACCTGTGAATCTTAAATTGCAACAGATACAATACATACTGAAATACATTATTATACTGAATTATGGCTTACAACAATACACAACATACATACTGAAATTCATAACTTCATGACAGATGATCAAAATAAAGGCTACACATGCCTCTCAAAAAGATAACAACTATCAACATGGATGGATACTACACATGCTTTAAAAAGTTTATACTTATACACACAAGATTCACAATACAAAATCAAACTCCAACACTAGCCACTCTGCATAGGCCTCTTGCCTGAGATGACTGATCAACAATTGCAGGAATACCTGAAATATATCCCCACAACACGGGGAGAGAAATAAATCTCGTAAACTCAGGATTTATGGAGAAGTCTCCACCCATGAGTTCACTTTCCTGCATGAAAGGTCAGATACATAGTATAACATACATCATATAATCACAGAATAATATTAGACCACTTGTATGTACAGATAACTCCAAGAATTAAATCTCAAGAGCAACCAGAGCCAACCAGTCCAGGCGCACTCATGGCCTATCTGAATATGTTCACTGCACAAGAACCAACATTTCACAACTCAAATCACATCAAATCATGTTATTATCTATATGAATGCAACTACACTATATATCCGACTATCACAATATATAAACATACAAATATACCTCCAAGATAATGAAATCCTGGTAGAACAAACTAAGGGGAAGAATCTTCGTAAACCAAGAGCTTACCTCTAGTAGCTCATAGTAAGCTTACTTGTACAACAAGTAATCAAGTCAAATCCTTTGAACACTAATCAGGAATCACTGTATCTCCCAATTCACGCTTATACCCAGATATACATCAGATTTGACATACACATAACAACCTGTAACACAAGATTCATGTCTTGTGCAATCCATATTACACTATTTACAAATTCACTCTTAACAATTCATGCCCATGCCACAAGTCAACCTAACTTAAAACTTGATATTAAGTTAAACCTACATCCACACATTAACAATTAGAGACTTGAACCTTCAAATTCACTTAAACACTCTTTATTTAGATTTCTAGGGTTTAATTATCAATTAACTTTAACTCCAACCAAATTAACTCAGCATAGCTGAATCTCAACCATCACATTCACACACATTCACATACTTTTCATTCATCATTCTTTACACCTCTTTAACATTTAATCATGCATCAAAACATATGCTTGAACTTAGCTTTCAAATCATTGATTGTATGTCTTTTAAGTGTCAAATTCTTTCACAAGTTCAAACACTTAAACCAACCATTCACTTACACTTTATTATACATCAAATACATATAACATCATTCAAAAAAAATTATACAACATGGATACCCAATTAACTTGAAATGGCCGAAACATGCATAGTGAAATTCCTTGACTTTAAGCATTCAAACTTTAATCCAATGACACCACACCATCAAATACACATTGACTTCATGTTATAAACATTCAATTTATCATTTTGCATATATACCCTAAATTAACTACACTTGGCCGAATTGTTGTATAGTTAAAGACTTAGGATTTCCTTTATATTTTATCGCGCAATTTCATTAACAAATTATCACACAACCTTAATTCCATCATCAACCATATGTCAACACATCATTATCATACACTTAGTATGCATAGTCAAATTTACAACTTGAACATCAACACTTTGCATGCATTTTTCTTAACATATACACAATTAATTAAACTTTAAATCATCAATTAAACGTCACACCATTTTAATTAACATGTAAGCATCATCAAATCATATCAAACCCTAATTTACTATTCATGGCCGAATTTGAAAGGTTAGGGTTAGGTTTGATTCTTGCAATTTTTCAAGAATTCAAGATGTTATCTTTGATTTACAAGATTAAACAACCAATTTCCAAAACAAAACCACTTCAAAATTCATCATCAACATACATAGAAAATTATGTTGAACACAAACGTTCATAAATCATTATCAAATCAACAAAGTTGTTAGCAATTACCTTGTATAGCTTCCTTTAGGTAACCTTAAGCTTTTTCCAACATAAAAACCAAACAAAACTCATCTAAAACACCAAAGTGCAGCAGCCATGTTCAACCTTTAGGAGGGATTATCTCACTCAATACAAGGTTAGAAGGTGTATGGTTTTAGGGCTTTTGTTCACAAGCTCACAAGGATCTTTTTCATGTTGAAACTTTCTTGAAATTATGACTAGAAATCAAGTTCTCTCAAACTCTCACTCACCATGGATGCTACGATCATGGAGGAGAAGAAGAAAAGATATTGTCTGTGTCTTGAAGAAATAATAAGAAGATGACAAGTGGTTTGAAATTAAAAGGTTTAAAGCTTTAGCTTTTATGACTTTTTCACCTTTTTAACTTAGATATTTTTATCAAACTTTAACCAAGCTTTCAAGACAAGCCAAGCATCATTCCCATCAGATTTGCATCATGGAAATGGGTTCAAAAGAGCTAGGAACCGACTTGGTCTTGCGAAGGAAGAATAACACACAATTTTTGACTTTTTCAAAGTATAGAGTATCTTGATTTTCATTGGTTTTCACTTTATACATCACACACTTGAACTTTTGACCAACCATTCATACAATAACATAATTAAACATCACAAATAGCATAGAAAGCAAGATAATCATCTTTGACCAAAGATTAAGCCTAAGTGTAAAGTTAAAGCTTACTTTTTAAACTAGTTGACTTTTTAATTAATCAAACTTTGACATATTTATTTAAATTATTCTACACATCAATTAATTAATTTAAACACGTATACTATTGCGAATAATCAGCAAGTGTACCGATCGTTCCAAGTAATAAAATGATGAGTAGAGTATCGTCTCCACGAGGATTGAGGCACCGAATTTATTATAACTATTCCTCTTTTGATGGATTAATAAAAATGGTTTGAGGACAATTATGGTTTGTGAAATAATAAGAACAATTCAAGAAAATGTAAATAATTCAAAGGTTCTTAAAGAATTCAAGAACAAAAGATTATAAGTTGAGAAAATGTTTGAGAAAATATTGCGGTAAAGAGATGCCAACACCTTTATGATCCCCACCTTGTAACCTGAGTTAACGTTTACATTCAATTATGCAATTGATCAAACGATTCACTATCTTTTATTTAATTGGTTAAACCCTAATTCCCCAGTGACTATAACCTTATTAACCATATTAAGATCCTAATCCCTTAGAAATCCCTTTTTAAGTTAAGACTTCGAATCAGTGAATCTTTCACGTTTGCGGTTCATATAGCTTATCCCTAGTGTATACATGAACATTTATCTTACCTCTTGTCAGGAATTAGAGTTCTAATATTCCTATTGAAAACCCTAACCCTCACAATCCTAACAGAGTGATCAATTCTATAAGAATTATAAGATGAAGAACAAGGTAAAATAGCTCAATTAACATAGATGAATATAAATTTAATCAAACTACAAGGGGTTCACATAAAGAGTTGTGACCATTACCACAATAATTAAACTAGCCAGACATATTCATGTCTGACAAAGTAAACATGAAAGAAAATAAAATTCAGAACCTAAAGAAGAGAAAGAAGATAAAGATCTTCCATCTTGATCGTTCGAATCTTTGAAACTCCAAGAATTCTCTCTCTCTTTGTTGTTTTTCTCTTCCTTGTTGTCAAAGAGTCCCTTCTCCTTATGTTTCTGATCTTTTTATTAGGTTTTAGGAAAACCTCCTTCCAATTGCTCTCCAATTGGGCCTCCTTTTAGAGTAATTCGCATCAGATTAAAATTAAAAATATCTCCCACGCACTTTGCACCAACTCCGGCGCAAATTGCACGGGAAAACATAGTTGAAGTTGTCACCTGGCGCACAATGCGCCAACTGCCGAGCACTTTGCGCCAAGGAACAGAGGAAAACTGCACTTCTCTCATTTCTTCTTTTTTTGGGGTTTCATGCTATTAAAACACATAAATTGAGTTAGAGAATGATTGAGAAGGAATAATCAATATTTCTTCCATTTATGACTTATTTTCACACATTTATGATTAATTCCTTACTTCTTTTAAGTTAGAAAGCATCATATACTGAACGCATATCAAACAATTCCCAAATTTAGATGTTGTTGTCCTCAGCAATAAACAGGATTAAAACATGGGAAGCAAGATTCAATTAATCAAGCATAACATTGCACAGACAATCATAACGATTACTATACTAAGCATGAATGATTTCCAAGTCAAAACTTAAAACGATGCTTATCAACTTCCTTCAAATAGCAGAATCTAACTTGATTACCCCTCACAAGACATAATATTCGCTCATCACTCAGTGTTTGGGGGTATTCATCATCGATCATTCCATCACAGCTGTTGCACTACCATAAGCTTGATCTTATTCTCAAGTTCCTGAAGATGAGGAATGCCAACACATGCATGACTGATCAAAAGGGCTTCTCACGGTTATACCTTGGCTCGGCTTAAGGTTAGGATCATTTAGAAAGTAGCTGAATAATCGTTGAGATTGAAACACCATTTTCATTAAGACGCAATCATATCTCAATTCATATTTCAGCTCCACTATTTACTTGAATTCATGATTCATCCCTTTTCTCACCTTTTTCTTCATAATTTCTTTTCAATTTTTTAATTTATTTTTCTGTCCTCTTTGAATTCTTTTGAGGACTATTTTTCTTTTCTTTTTCCTTTCAACTGCTTAACTTCTAGTGGATCTTACCTCAATCACTTCTAACTTTTGATTATTGACATTTCAATCTCAATCAAGGTAAGTTCTGGTGGAAGTGGTTTAGACAGTTTAATCAGGTAATTGAACAAAAACAGTAACATGGCTAGCAATGAAAAAAATTTCAAGTGACTATTTGGCCATAAGCTAGTAGAATAGAATGTCTTTATCACCTCAATCAACACATGCATTGGAGAGAATTAGATCAAGTTCTAGAGTACTACCGCAGTGAGGGCTCTCTAAAAAATTTAACTGTATAGGCTCAAACCTCACCAGCTGTGGTATCAAACTAGACTCTTCCTAATTTCATTTCAAGCATCATTATCCATTATTAACATAGAAATCAACAAACGAGCAATCATAATCTCTATTCATGCTCTATGCAATGCCATGGCAATAATACATATCATACAACGCTTCCTTATTTTCAATCAAGAAATTGACTGAGTAGCACATCTAAATTTGAACATGCTTTCACATATCAATTATCACTAATTCTAAAAAAAAATTACTACTAAAAAAAAATAAACTGGAAAGGTTAGAATAACTTCCCTGAAGTATACATGAATTCTCTGACTTTCTGTTGCTCCTTGTTATTGTTCCTCTGTATGTGATACCTCATGATAACACGTGTGCGGCCCCAATTCCCATATTTAGAAGATTGTTGTCCCCAGCAATAGACTACACGTCAGAGATAAGGAGCACGTAATAATAACAAGTAGCAGCATAAGAAATTCATCAAATATACATCTCCATGGATAAAAACTTAAAACTAAGATAAAATAAAATAAACAAAAACAAAAACTAAATGTAGCAAAATAAAATAAAAGCATAAATCCATTGGGTTGCCTCCCAACAAGCGCTTGTTTAACGTCATTAGTCTGACGTACACTATGTGATCATGGTGGCTGGTAACTCGGGCTTAGTGATGACACCATACCCTTGCTCAGAATTTGTGTCCTGCTATGGTTATACTCATATTCATGTGGATAAGGAGGAGGGCTTTCAGGAACTTTAAACTTAGTTTTCACATGCTTTTTCTTGCTCTTGGGCTTTTCCATCTTAACATTTGGCTTTTGTTCTTCATGCCGCTGATGGATTTCCTTCTTGTTCCCTTCCTCAACCTTTTTCTCCGCAATGTAGTTGACTTGATTCTTAGGTTGAGAAGCAGGCAATGGAGGAGCTTCATTTATAAGTACCTTGAATATTGTTTGCTCTCCATCCACGCGCATTATCAACTCACCCTTAGGTACATCGATTAATGCTCCTGAGGTTGCTAAGAATATTCAAATACTCAAAATAAATTCATATTCATATCACAGTATGAAATCATAATCATGTTCATTTCAACCCATACATGTTAGTCAACATGCTAATTCACATAGTAATGTACCTTAGTTCACGTACACCTGCAAAAATTTTAAATCTTAATAACATAATAGTTCGAATACTATAAACACAGTATACCTCAATCTCCATGGCATCTGCGAAATCGGAACTCAATAAAAGGTGAAATGACATTGATACATTACAACAATCTATCGTACTCATTTCATGCTTAACACTATCCATGATGTTAATATGCGAACTACTTATGAAGCATATCAATAATCAACATAAGATCCTAGAGTCATGGAGACCACTCAACTCACCAGTACTACTTGTACATGCACAAGCCTCGCATATACAAGGTCGCGCGTGGCCTTGCCACAATTCCAAGTGTTACACACTCAGTTTCCCTGAAGAGAATTTCACACTCTCAAACAGAGCACCATAACAATTAAGTAATGGCGTAAGGCATCATACCTTAAAACAACATGACCGGTGCTTCCCATGGAGGCACGCTCGGTCGGATGATGTGACACCCTCCCCTCTACGCGTCCAAGGGAGTTGTCTGCTAAGCGGATTAGAGTCGAATTGTTAACGAGTAGAATTCTTGTTCAATAAAAACGTTTTCATATTACCAATTATAAAAGCTTGCCTAGAAAACTGACTTTGAAAAAGTGAAAACCGCAAAAATATTTTTAAAAGGCTTTCGCTGCGCAACTCTGTTTTTTTTAAAACAGCCTGTCTTGCAAAAATCATGTAAATTCGAAATCAACAGCTTACAAAAATATTCCTTGATATATAGAAACTAGACATCTGAGGCTTCGCGTACATATAAATTACACGCGAATCAGAGGTGAATAGCCCCATGAAACAGAACTCGTAAAGTACTCGAAAGTTCATTGTATTTCTCCAAAAACCTCCTGAATTGTAAAAATCATAATAATTTGGGATTTCAGAATTTCATTGTAAAGTTTATATAATCTGAAAGTAAACAACTGGGGCTTTACATCCATATAAAATATACCTCAATCTGAGGTCTGTAGCCCCAGAACGGAAACTCGCAAAGTGCTCACAAAAACAGTTCAAAAATCCGAATTTCAATACAATAGCAATTCTTTTCGCAAACTAAATTACCAGAATTATAAACATCATGCTACACTTCTTTTTAAAACAAAATATACATCATACTACACTTCTTTTCAAGACAGAATATACATCATGCTACCTCAAGGTCAAATAATCAGAATACACTCGACAGAGACAGCGGGCAAACAACAAGGATGTCAACAGCTTAACTTAAACAAAATTGTCATGTAATCATGTCATCAAACACTTCTTCAAATGCTTCTAAGTCCTCCTGCAATTTATAAAAATTGCAGCCCCAAAGGGGTGAGAAAAATCTCAATAGTGTGGCAATAAAACCAATACAACAACAGTATTAGACTAGGTACAAAATTACAAAACAGTCGCATCAACGGTAAAATTCTGTACAGCTGTTAATCATCATCTTATTGCGCATGTAACGCCATGGTCATGTATATTGATAATAGTCATAATAGTGCGTATATAACGTCATTTCCTTGTTAGTGCGTATATAACGCCATTTCCTTGTACGTTCATAGCACCGTCGTGCACGTACTAACATACACAGTGGATATTCCATGAGGGCTCCCTTAAAGGTGAATTTCAACTGTGGCCTATGCGGACGGAAGCCAAGTGTCCCATACCCTGGTACCGAAGGGATGCCTATATGATGTGTGCTCAATCGTATGCATATTTATATAAATATTCTAATCCATGAACAACATGAAATTCGTGCATGTATGCCATGATATGCTTCACACACAAACAAGAAACAAATGAATTATGAGGTGTATATGCATGACTAGATCATCATCATATTAGCATATCTTTCATGTACTTTCCGTACCATCATCATCATAATAGCATATCTTTCATGTACTTTCCGTACCAAGCTGCCACACAAAAATTACTTCACATTCATGATTTTCCATCTTGTCACATTCATAGGCAGCATACATATAGCATATGACAGCACATTAATCCAAGGCACATGTGAGCAACAATTCACAATTCTATACGCTAGCCAATAGTCACATTAGGTAATACCACCAAACACTTAACTGATATTTTAGCTTTCTAATCAAAACAGCCTCAAGTTCGTCCAACATCCTAGAGTTTTATGAGCCTAATCAAAAGTATCAAACAAAATGTCTTTACTTTATTTATTCACAAATCACAAGGTTCCATTCAGAATTTATGCTCCTATGATCAAGTTCATTTTCTGACCTTTAAACTAATTTTCCATGCTTTCTGCTCCTATGATTTAAATCAATTTGTCATACTTCAAGTGTTAATTAATTTCTGCCTTAGATTCAGTTTTCCTAATTGTTAACCAGAGACACAATTCAAAGTCTCCTACACACACAGATTCGGTCTTCCTCATCACAAGGTGCTTATGATTTATTTTAACAAAACTCTAATTAGATCATTTAGTCTCTGCTAATTAAATTATACATGCTGTCTATACAAGTTTTAAATGCATACAAAACCTGAATCAAATCGGTTTCCAAGTTCATCTACTACATTAATTTTCTGACAGAATTTATTTTACAAATACATAGCATGTGACTTAATCCCAATGTTACTTGCGCATACAGCTTCTATTTCAAGACTATCATCTAAAAGTTCCATTTTATTTATTTATTTTATTTTATTTTTCTTTCTTTAACAAGACAGTGCCTATGTTACTTAGGTGTGGTCCAGTTAGCTTTCAGCATGCTATCTACACACTTCTAAACACATGCAACGCCTATCAACATTTTTGGGTTCAAGAAGCAGCCCAACAAAATCAAGAGAGCAATTTCCAAACTTATAATTCGGGTTTCTTAAGCATGAACAAGAGCTTCTAATCGGCTGTCTTCAACAGTTTGCCACACATACAAAACTCACTTAATTTTTCTAGTTCAAGCAACAGTCCAACAAAAGTTAAATAGAGCTATTTCCATGCTCACAAGACATCGGTTTAGTCTCACCTACATCAAGTCCTATGGTTGTATAAAATGACAGCCTTAAAGAAGGGAAATTGTCCAACATAGATTATGCTCCTATTATAAATTGTAGTGGCCAAACAATTAAAGAGTGATTAAGGATTTGACATGTGACTCATTTTATGTGTAGGCCCTCGATTATATGGGAGTCCACGGACAGAAACAGGGAGCAAACTAACACAATATAACTCTCTTAAATCACATGCAGCAACCGATTTGATCATTACTAGAGAAATGACAGAAAAATACATCTTTCTTGGATGCATGTACTGGCCGAACAAACAAGAACAAGGAAAGGTTTGAGGGGGAACTTACTTCTACTTGCAAGACAACCTAGGTCCACGAATCGGCCAAGGAAAACAGTGGTCAAATGATGTACAAATTCTTTCACCTTTCCATTCTTCAAGATGACGGATTTGAGCTGCATGCAAGGGACGATCTTCATCAAATCGAAGGGATGGAGGAGAGACCAGAAACTAGAGAAAATCCTATACTGCTCGCTCAATGGAAAACGGTCGGACCATGAGATGAAGGAATGAAAGCTTGGATGGTCGTTGTCCTCTTATGTAGCTCACGGTTTGTGAGAGGTAGGGAGGAGGAATTTCACATGCAAACTTTGGGTCCTTCTCTAGCTGGTCTACGGTCTTGAAAGAGAGGAAGAGAGATATTGTTTCATTCTAAATTGAGAGAGAGATATTCAGTCTTGTGCGGAGGATGATGTTGCGCATGGAGTGAAGGAGAATGGTATGTTAGACTAATTTGATTCAAAAGAATTGAAGAGAAAAGATCCTTTGTTCCTCTTTCTATTTTGTGCAGGGAGTAATTGGGTTTGGCCAAAATTCTGATTCAAGGTACACAAAGTTTAACAATAATCAGATTGCCTTTGGCCCTTATTGGGCGCTAGAGTGATGAGGGCTTCCAATGACCAATAGAATTTCATGCAAGGGAACTTCTCACTTCTTATTGGTTGCAAGAGGTGGTGAGCTGAGGTGTGTAGGGATTTGCCAAGTGGCCATTTATTGACCAATAAAATTTACATGCATGCAGATTTTTGGTGAGAGATAACTAAGGTTCACCTATCACATGAAATATATATACCTATTAATTATTAATTCATGTTTCCACTAGGTAGTAATTAAAATTTCTACCTATGTTATAATTAATTGTAATTCTATCCCTTTTTAGCTAGTGTTTTGAATTCTTAAAATATTTATAAGTATTCACTTATAATTTCCATTAGAATAACTTCCCTAAATGAATTAATTCCACTCTAAACTTAATTGAATTTCGAATTCCAAGCATGATATACACCCCTGATTGCAAGTTATGAGATTTTCTAATTTTTGCGGGATGTTACAGATGAAGTCTTTCGCCGAAAGACCCTCAGAACGCTACTTCAACTCAGCCAACTCTGGTGGCGACATCCGGTATGAAGCTAATAACAAGGCCCCACACCAGGCAACAATTCAATGGAGAACTCTATCTCCCACTGTGGTGGACACTCAGGAATCTCCTAAGGAAGCACCTCGAGAAATTCCTTCACAATAGGAATGCCAGTGAGATCCTCCTGTGTCCCACTCACCAAATCTCCCAACAAGACATAACCAATGTCCCTGCTCATAAGGCTCTCCTAGCCCGTAGCAATAAAAGGCGAGGAACTGGCTGTGGAATCACACGGAGACATCACCACTCGCTAGGCACAACAATCAATCATCACATAATTTTTGGACAACCAATCCATGTCCAGAATGATTTCCAAATTAGCCATCGGCAATCCAATCAGATCTACCGAGTAATCATGGCCATCCCACTGAAACACGACATCTCGATGTATAGTGGAGGTATCACACTTTTCTCCGGTGGCGGTGGTTAACCGCAACGGTGGAGAAAGTACAAACATGGGAAACTCAAGCCCCACAGCAATCGGGGTTGCAATAAAGGAATGCGTAGCCCCGGAATCAATCAAAACATCAACAATTCCGCTAAAGGAAATAGTACCTCTGACAGGGTTCGGAGTCCTATCTGTCTGCTAACGATCTAAAGTGTAGACTCCTCCCGTGGCAGGTTGCACATATGGTGCCGCTGTAGTTGGAAGGGGAACCATATGCAATGGAACTGCCTGAACTGCTGCAGCCCCTCGCCATCGACAACGGACAGTCTCTAACATAGTGGCCCTCCTTGCCACACTGAAAGCATAAAGTCTGGCCGGTAGCACCCGGCCCCAAATGAACCTTCCCATATCCCGAGCATCTGGGAGGAAGAGGTCTCGCGGTAATCCCCTGAGTCGTAGTCCTCTTGAACTGATTCGGCGCTTGCCTAGCCGCCAACTGCTTTCCCTTGCCCTGACCAGCAAACTTTCTGTCCTTCCACGAAGTGGAACTACCAGTTCCCTTCTCATCAGCAATCTTGGCCCTCTTGGCCTTACTTGTGATACAGACATCCTCGATGTCCTTACACTACTGCACCAGTGTACCGAGGTCCCTTGATGCAGCTCCAGCAATATGCTCAGCAATCACCTCACTAAGTCCTCTGCGGAACTTAGCCGCCAAAAAGCTCGGAGTGGGCACAACCATCCGAAAGTAGGCGAACTTCACAAGCTCGTTAAACTTGGCCAGGTACTTGTCAACAGACATCGAGCCCTGAACCAATCTATCAATTCTCCCTGCTTCCTCTCCTGCGCATCGTAAGGGAAGTATCTGCCCAAGAAGCAGTCCTCGAAGAATGGCCATGTCATAACATGACCCTGCATCTTATAAGCACGAGAGGTGTTCATCCACCACTCATGTGCATCACCCTCCAGCATGTACGTGGCGAACATCAGCTTCTGCGAGTCAGTACACTGCATAACCCGGAAGATCTTCTCCAATGCTTGCAGCCATCTCGCAACAACAATGAGATCAAGTGCCCCATCGAATGAAGGTGGCTTATGCTTACGGAAAGCATTCAGCCGGCGGTCTATAATATCCCGATCCTCAGCAGGCTCCACATGGGTTCCATCACCCCAGTGAGTTGACCAGTGCCTCCAACATGGCTCTGGCTCTCGTCCTGCAGACTAGGTGGAGGCGACGGAGGTGGTGGCGGTGGAGGTGGTGGCGGAGGGAACTGACCCACAGCAGGTCCAGCCCTCATCTCCTCCAACATAACCCGCATCATGGTCATGTTCGCTAGCCTGTTCGTCTCAAGGACATCCTCGGTGGTCCTCCGATTTGCCTGGCGAACATCTTCTGCGGCCTTCCGGTTCTCCTCACGAATGGCATCCATCATCGCCGTGTTGGCCAATCTAGCGGCCTCTTGATCGGCTATCCTAGTCGCCTGCATCTCAGCTAATGCAGTCAGGACAGGATCCGGATCCTCAGTGGTCTCGCGGTTTCTCCTAGGTATTACCATGACTCTGCACAAGTTACACAAAGAATAAGTTGATCTGGCCTATGCAATGTGGTCACACATGCATCATCATAGCAAAACCCATCAGAGGAAACACACAAAACAGACTCGCGACCAAACATTCTAAGTTATTGCAATACATGCAGGCTTTTCCCTAGAAAGTTTTCTGATACCATAAAATGTAACACCCTGTGTTAACCCGGTTTGTTAACATGTCATCGTATTAAGCCACGCTTAATTAAAAATGCAGAATATCTTTTTCTTTTCAATTATGATGTCATTAATCATTACCAACTTGCTTACTTAATCAGTTAATAAAACATTGCCTGTATGTAAATTTCAAAAGACAACTAACTGGAATACCTTATTAATTAAATACATAAATATGTCTCTAGTCACGGAACTACAACACGTAGACCGGACAACCCTGATAGTTTATACAACTCAGTTAAACTAAGACATAACATAAATCAAAGTGGCATGGACAAACCCCATGCTCACCCAAATAAGGCACACGCCCAACATCAGTCTCAACAGCAGCAACATAATAAAAGCAAGCTAAAGACCTAACATCAGCAGATAAATCCAGCATCCAACCATGTCAGCATATAAACAGTAATATCATCAACTAAGCTCCGGCATCATGCCGTCAGAGGCATCAACCCCTAAGTTACCTGAAATAAGCGCCCCAAACGTGGGGTGAGATCTCTAAACAAGAAATCTCAGTAAGACAAGGGGTCCTCAAGGATCTTCCACCCCAAGCTCACTTACATGTGCAATATAAGTTCAAAAGCAGTTAACAGTATAAGTTCTCAAAATAGTGCAATGTAGCAGATAATCATGTCATGTATGTTATAACAATTCTACTGATCAGAGAAGTGTAGGAATCCATCTAAACCCACACGGTACTAGCCATTCGCTGCACCCATCCACAAAACCGCCCATTGGCCTCCTGTAGGCGTAACAACACAATACATATCATAAGCAATTGCATTTAACAGCTCATTAGCATTTCAATAAAATAGTACATGAAAACACATCATGCATACAACCATCCCCCCATGGGAAATGGTGGAACCAAACAATGGCTAGACCGAGGACACAAAAGCTTACCTCTTAAGCTAACTATCCAATCCAAGAGTCCACAAAATCTCAAAGTCCACAAACAGCAAGATCATAATCTGTTTAGACCAATTATAGCATCAATATTCATACTCTATAAGCATACTAAAAAAGACAACGCCTTTCTCTTACGTTTTACGTCTTTAGGCTCCTCACAAAGCCATAAGCCCTTAATCACTTAGATTCTGACTTAGTTTATTATCACAGAGGTTCAACATAACCCACCATGGGTCCACAAACCCATAAATATCATTCTGTATGAACAGTGCAGCCACTGTTCATCGAAAACTTAGAATATCCGGATATTTGTCGGGGGCATATCCGGATATCATATCCAGATATTTCGCGACAGAATGCAGTTCTGCATTTCGCGAGATATCCTTTCCAAAGGTGACTCATTTCATGCATACAGAAGCCCAAACATGCGATTTAAGGTGTGTTTAACATTACCAAACCTTAAGTTAGCAACTTTAGTTCATTAAATGCATCAAGGTTCCATTTTTAATCATTAAACTCATGATCAAAGGTTGTACAACTTACCCAAGGTTCAAAACAAAAATGGATGATGCTCTTGGAGCTCACTTGAAGCTCCCAAAGTCCAGCACACTCAAAGACACGAAAATGGCACACCACCAAGGTTCTTTCTCACCAAAAATGGTTTCTTGAAGCCTCCAATGGCATGAACAAAGGCTCACACCAAGGGACACACCAACTCAGCCCCTCAACACCTCACTAGCAGCATCTAAACTTAGAACACAAGGCTTTTCTCCCACACAAGTCTTAACCGCACCCAACCATAGTGTTTTGATGAAGAAAGGGTAGAGAAATGCGGTTACTTTGGAGGTTTCTAAGAGAAGTTGAAGGTGACAAGAAGGAGAGGCTGATCATCAGCCACAATGCCTCACGTAGAGTTAATAGTATGGCCTAGGGTTGTGTGCAAAAGTTGCATTTATAGTTACTTAGGAATTAAACACACAGTATTAGCGCTAATAGCTACGCTTAGCATTTTAATCCCAAACTTTGGAATCTGAACCTACTCATTTTTTTAAGATTTATCATATTTTTATTTTATTTTTCGCAGCACTTTTCCGGTACGCGCTTTTCCATAGCCAGTATCAGTTCTGGCACCATTTCTCATTATTTTAACTTGGAACTTGTTTTACAAGTCCTATATATTATTCTAGGAATTATCATGCACTTATTATAATTTTCCGGGACACTTTTTCGGTACGCATTTATACCGAGTAGCAGAACCGGTATCTGCATTTTTCGTCCGAAAAGCGACTTTCAGCATTATTAATCAATTACCATAATTATTTAAGACTCATAACAATTATTAGGGTCAATTATGAAATTATTTCCTAATTTCACATAATTAATCAATTAATTTCCTTAAATAACGGTGCAGGTTCTTACAGTCAATAAGCAGCAGATTACTCAAATATTTCAAAAGAAAAAAAATCATTTGTGTGAAAAAGTGAAAAAAAGAAAGATATCCAATGATGAGAACAAACCATTTTTTTTAACAACCGGGCTGGATCACTGGTTTTCACCAAAACTGGCTGGATTTTACCAATTCTAATATTTAGCTGATCCGCTATTTTATCCAAGCCGATTATATGATTAATTTACCGATTCTCAAATGGGTTTTTAAACACCGGCTGTAAGTGAGATAGAGGAGGCAATGAGAGCCATTTTACGGTCAATCGTGGTGCAATAGTGCTACTAAGGGTGTTTGCGGTCTGGATTGGATTGATTTTCAATTTTTTGAAAATCCTAAAATTTGTTTTATGATTATTGTGCAAATAACATCTTTTGTATATATTGGCTTTGTAAAAAAAAATTGAAATATAAAAGCACAAGTAAACGATAATATAATTTTTTTTTTTGTAATGAGATATGAAGCTCTACGCAGATGAAATTTTGTTGATGAGATGTGACTAAATTTTTTCTTGGGTTTAGTTGATGGGTTAATCGATATTGGGTTTAGAAATTTTTGGGCTATAATTGGGAAAGACCCAAGTAGATAGAGGGGAATTAATTTGTTGGATCAGTTTTCATCAACCAATCCGAAAACTGATCTAATTCAATTAAAATTTGCGATTTTTTTTCAATTTTCAATTTTTTGATTTTTTGGTTATCGATTTTTCGGTTCGGTCATCACAGTTTGGATCGGTTGATAAACACTCTTACGTGCCACTATATTGAAGTTGTGCAAGTTTACATTTTTACCCTCCATTTAAAATTATAACACTAACAATTTAACGGTCCTTTTGTCTTTTGACCCTTAAATATCTGAACCCTTTCCCCATCGACAAACCCCTTTCTGACTCTCTTCGACAAACCTCTTCCCCTGCAAAGACTAGCGACCAGCGTAGACCGGCGACCTGCCACTGCGACGGCGACGGAGAAGGCGAAGGCGACGCTGAGAGACAGACGAAAACTTCTGTAACTTCGTGACTCCCCCTCTCTCACTCTGTTTTGTAACTTCTGTTCTATGCTTTTATTTTTTATTTATTTATTTTTTTGATTTGGTTACAATTTAACCCTTTAGTTGATTAATCTTAACTACAAAGGCAGAAACACCTTGGTTTTTGGTTCGTCTCTGTTTTGATTAGTATTTGTTTTTGGTTTATAACTCTTTTTTTTAATACATATTTTTTTCTATGAAGTTGTTATATGTGTGGTTATATATCTATATAACAGGTAAATGCATAGGACTCCACTAGCGTTTTTGGGTGTAACCAAATGCCTTCACCCAACATCTTGAGGTTTTGTGTTCAATTGGTTTTTTACAGGGTTTGCTATCTGTATTTGATAACTGTGATTTTTAGCTCAAAGGGGTGTCAGATAAAAAAAGTGTTAGTGGTGATGTGGGCCGTGGAGTGGTCATCAGCATTATGCCATTATCTAGATCTGCTGCATCTTTCAAATCTATGGTGAAGGCTTTATAGGATGAGGGGCAGGGTTTCCTTATTGAGTTCAAAGACATGGCTGTTACATACACCGTTTGTACCGGCTGTGTCGGCGAGTGTTAGGAAACCCCTAATTAGGAAGAATAAGAGGAATAACGACAATAGGTAGTGGAAAATATTCCAACAGAATTAAAATACCAGTTAGTTAGTTAGTTAGTTGGAGGAAAAGGGCATATTCCAACAGAATTAAAATACCAGTTAATTAGTTAGTTAGGTGGTGTTTGGTAAGAGGTATATTTTCAGAATGCTGGGGAAGTGAAGGTGGGCATGTATGAATCTCATGTTTGGTATCCCAATTGAGAAAACTTCCCTAGGAAAGCTATTTCCCCTGAATTCCTTTGACTGTGTAATTTTTGGATGAAAACCCTATGGAAGAATACCACCCAGAGGATGGGTATCCTTGAATTGATGGGGAAATGAAAAATGTCATACCAAAAGAACCCTTACTTTATTTTTGAATCTCGTCGTCACCCACTAGCCACGACTTTCTTGTTATTTGCTGACATCTCATGTTTAAAGGAAAAGAAATGAGGAAAAAAAAAGATGCTGTAGTGAGAGTAGTTGAGAGTGATTGATTACCGTTTGTTTTCTAAGAAAGAAAAGCTTCGTTAATAAGAGCTTAAGTTAAAATATCCTTGAATTGATGGAGGATCGTGGGGGTATATGAAAAAAATTAGCCTTTCTTTTACAACTGATAATATTTCTGAAAATGGAGTTGCTATGGAGGATGAGAAACATGTTTTGAAAAAAATTATTGATGAAGCAACTAAGGAGAACATAAACGAAGAAGTTGAAGTTGAGTGGAATGCAGAAATTCAGACCAAATGAAGTATTTGAACCTGTAGTAAAAGCTGAAGGCCCCAATTTTGCAGCAAGTAAAAGGGTTATTTTCGTATTTTTAATACATTTCCCCATCAATATTCTACTTTCAACCAAACATAGACTCAGTAAACTTAACCCAATTTTCCTGGTAATTTTTCAGCCTACCAAACAACTTTTTTTACATTTTCTTACCAAACTCACTTTCCAACCATTTTCCTATCAATTACATTTCCCTAGTATTCAAAAAATTTCTCCTCAACCAAACGCTACCTTAGAGTAAAAGGGTGGGAAGATGTAAGAATAAAATGAGGTGAAGACAGGTGAAGAGAGCTTTTTGTGAGTTAGTCAATTGAGAGGAGAGGGCCAGAATATTTGTTCTTTGGATTATTTGATTGTTTAGAGATACCCTTTGTAATTTGCTATCTCTTCTACAAGCAAGACTCATTCTTGCTTCCCACACGATGTTCTTTTAATAAAAACACTTTCTTTCTTGTATTTAGGGTGAGCCTGGAACAATGGTAAAACTGTTCCCGTAGTAAAACCCTTTGTGAATGAAAGCTCACGGGTTCGAATCCAAGAAACGGTCTCTTTGCAATTATGCAAGAGTAAGGCTGCGTACAAAGATTGCTTCCACCCCACTCTCGTTAGTCGGGGTTTAATGGGGAGTTTTTTTATTTTCCTTCTTGTATTTGCTTGCCCGTTCTAAACCAGTTCCTATATACTGGTATAATGACATTAGCTAGTGAAGAATAGTCCTACAGAATTAAAATAGCAGTTAGACTTAGTTAGAGGTAAAGAGCAGGAAGATGTAAGAATAAGCGGGAAGATGTAAGAAGGCAGTCTTGTGAGTTAGTCAGTTGAGAGGAGAGTTCCACAGAATTCTTTCTCTGGATTGTTCAATTGTTTAGAGATACCCATTGTAACCTGCTATCTCTTCTGCAAGAAAGACTCCTTGCTGCCTGGAGGAGGTTCTTTCAATTAAAATTACATTCTTTCTTGTATTTTCTTGCTGTTCTAAAGCAGTTCCTATCAGTGAGTTTGGTTATGTTGATTTTGTCATAGACCGTGAATGTAACTAACATATGATGATAACAATGGCAGATTAAGTGATACATACATAAATTGGTTACTATAGATTTGGGCGTAAGGATTTTTTTTTTTCATTAATAAACCGGAGCAGTGGTAAAGCTGTTCTTTCAGGATTGAAAGGTTATAGGTTCGAATCCAGGAAACAGCCTCTTTGCAATCATGCAAGGGTAAGGCTGCGTACAAGGATTGCCTCCACCCTACACTCGCTAGTTGGGTTTTATGGGGAGTGATTTTTTTTAATAGCTTTGGTGCATTGTTGGGGACTTGGGCATATAGCAGATTCTAGATCTATTTTGTTTAGCATTGGTAATTGATATTGTAGCTTGATTTAGAGTTTAGACTTTAGACATGCTGCTTTTGATATTTTTCAATTGTATTATTGTTCAAGAACAAATTTTTTTATTCTATTTGATTAAATGTATTATGTATTGTTGGGATGTTTGAGTTGAGAATATGTATTTTGAACTCGTAGAGCTGATTGCTAAGTGCTACCACTGATATTGTGAATTATTGGGAAAGATGAGACTGCTAACACACAATATGCTATCGTCGAACATAAAGGGCGTGGTGAATGGATTTCCACTGCGCATTGAAGCAGAGAAAGTGGTAGAAAAGACAGTCGAAATGAATGGCGAGTTTCTGAAAAAGATGTTCGAGAAGATTGATTGGAAGGCTTTTGTGGATGCATCAAGGTCCATGGGATACACTGAACTACCTGAAGAGGCTGACTCTTCCATGCTGGATTCAGATGAATTTCTGAATAGGTTTCATCATGCCCTCTTGGAACTCCACCTTGAAGAAGGTGCCCTTGTTTGCCCTGAGACTGGACGACGCTTCCCCATCAGTAAGGGCATTCCGAATATGCTTCTTCACGAGGATGAGGTCTGAATTTCACTATTAGTCAATTATATCACCCTCACCTGTTTAATGGCACCCTCGTGTTTACTATGTCCTTTGTCGCTCTGGTAAAAAATGCTGGTAATGGAAAGAATTCAACTGCAATTAGGATGGATAGTTTTGATCATCGAGATTACCTTATTTTGTCGACAGATGTTGTTGCCTCTCACTGAGCTATTGTTGTTTAATTTGACTATTTCCAACTGAATATGATATTAAACTGCTGCAACAGCATCTAAGGCTTCTTGTTTTAGATGAGTTTCTATTACTTCCTTTTGAATTGATGCCAGTTATTGTTGAATGACTGTTTGTTTTCCTTCTGGAACGTCTCACATGTCCCAAAAATTGTTTCACGTGAATTTAAGCACGATCATGACCCCTCATAAGTCATCAATAGGTATATATGTTTGTTACTAAATTAAAAATCCCCTAGCATCCAAGAGGGGGAATCTTTTCTGAGATCCTTCAGCTTTTAAGCCAAGAGATCTTATTGAGATATGTGTTTAGATCTCAGTCAAACCAACGAAAAGAGAAACCAAAGCCTTTTTTTTATTACTGTGAATAGAGAATGTAACATCACTTTGAGAATGTAACATCACTTACATATGTCAAGAGCATGTGAAAATACCTCCGTGGACTAGCAGGAGCTCCCATCTGTTTTTACATCGTGGGACAATGCACCAAATCAATGACATGCAAATATTTGCATCTAAACACTTTCCTCTACTGTACGTAGTTGTGCTCTATGGTGGCTGTTAAACAAGTTGAAAACTCTAGTCACCTCATATATTTTCCTGCTTTGACTATTATTATTTTTCCTGTCTTTGACCAAAAACCTCAAATTTACACATGCGTTAACAAGTAGATGATTCAGTTAGATGCAAGCAATGCAAGAGTGTCAGTCTGCCTTATAACACACAGCCAGCTATGCAGGGTGAAAAGTTGAAGTAACAGAGTCGCACTTCATATTTATGGTAGTTTTGATAAAAACTTGCACTAAATTACCATGAACCGGTCTGGAAGGGTTCTTTTTTCTTTTTTCTTTTTCACATGAGTGTTTAGATGCCTCCTCTTAAAAAAATCATAAAAAAAAGTTAAAAACTTATTTTCTTCTAAGCTTAAATTTCTATTTTTTTTCAAAAATAAAAGTTAAAAAACAAATATTTTCTTAAAAAAATCTAAATTTGGTCCAACCCCACCCCCAACCAATCTTACCTCCCTTGCCATCACTATTGTCATTGTTTCGCTCCTCTGCCAACACCACCACCACAACCATATCCTCTATCAATGTATCTTCGTCGTTGCCACTGCCTCCACCACAAGCAAATTTGTGCCCATAATATATTTCACATGTCTGTTTTATTAATTTACACATAAAAATTACTTTTTTATTTTAACATTCAAATAATATATTTAGTTAAAAGTGTTTTTCATGTACTACATTTAAATGCAAAATAGATGTAGCTTTTGAAAAAAAAATTAAAATAAATAAAACATAAATTTTTTTTTTTTTTCAAACATTAATCCAAACCGGACTTGTAATTTATAGACAGGGGAACTCAAATGGGATTTGCCTCACTTGTTATATTAGTCAGTGAAAGAATTTCCATTTGTTTCATATTGACCCGCAATTGGTTGCATGTGGCACTTTGTTATTTAGAAGGGAATTGAAATTGTTAGGTGATAGGAAAGGTGATGTATCACTTGAAGGGTAAACTATATCAATGTAAGAGTGACAAAGTAAGTCAATAGTATGAGCTATAGATCAGTGGAGGTTATCGTGGCGAGTTGAAAATAAGGGGGAGAGGAGAAGGACTCAGTTATGATTGCTGAGGAGTGATTTCTCCAAAGTAACACTAAAGTTGGCAATGATGAAGAAAATGAATCCTCAATAGAGGAGTGGAGGTATATATATAGCATGAAGAGAGATTCTCTAGGGTGGGAAATGTGATGCTATAACCAATTTAGTCCTTTTGGACTCTACTAACTGAGAGGTTACATGACTCTTCACATGTAAAGGTCACGTGTATATGAGAACGAGGGGAATCAGGTATAAACCATTTTTCATTTGATAAGTTAAAAAGTTGGGCCTATAGGGTGGCCCAATGGAGAGCCATATGCAAACCCAGCCGACCAGTCCAAACTAGAAATGTTTCAAAGTAAAGAGTAGTGCTTGAGATTAGGGGTATAAATTGACTGAGTTAGGCTAGACTTTGACTTAAATAAGTGAGGTTTGTGTAAAATATTTAAATCTAACTTAGTCTGTTAGCTTGATGTAGATGAAATTATAAGTCTAGCCTGACCTATATATAAAAAACAAAAGGTCTGGCTTAAATTTGCTAGCCTGTTTAAGCTTATTATGCCTTCAAGAATAAAAAAATAAATAACATAATTTTACATTATTACTCAAAATTATTTAAACAATAACTTTATTTATTTTATTTAAAATAAATAATATAATATTGATCACTTTGTAAGTTTATAGATCAGACCTTATAAAAGAAAACCTATGAGCTGCATTCAATATAGTTTTATTTATTTATTTATTTATGGCTTGAGCCTATTCTATTTTACAAGTGTTATGGACTCATATATAAGACCCATTAATTGACAAGCCCAACAATAGGCAATCCAAGATATTAATCAAATATAACTATGGAAGGATATCCGTCAAGATATCAATCCTAATATGACAACATGACATATGGGCTTGGGTCGTCATCAGAGGCACTAAAGATCCAGAATCCACTACCCACAGGTAAACTCTATAAATAAGAGATAAAACCTACAGGTACGTTACACTCTCTCTTACTGTTATGTTGTCACTGTGCGCATACACACACCCCTTTTGGCAAAGACATTTATAGTTCCTCTGTGCACAGTGATTTGCTTGACTCAAGGGTATCTCATCCATAGATACCTTGGAGAGGGCACTTAGATCCAATAGCAATATACTAGTCCATTGGGCTAGACGTCTCTGTCTCTAAGACAGAACATTGGCGCCATCTGTGGGGAATCCGTAAATTCGATATTCCCACGATCATGACTGACAATGGCGGTTCGTACAAGAAGTAACAACCAACAACCACAGCATCCTAATCCTCCATTGGATCATGTGTTGGAAGAAGTGAATCAGCCTCAAAATCAACTAGAAAACGAGGTGGACTATGATGTAATCCATGTAAGTAAGAATGTCTCGGATACTGCCTCGACGCCAGCTCCCCGCGGATCCCCCTCCCCTGAATCCTGCTGATGCAGCTCCCGCGTTGCACTTGCAGCAGATTCTGATTCTCGCCTTGCTCAAAATGCATTCGCTACAATTATAAGATGGATGGAGGATATGGAGAATCGTAACAACCTCCAACGACGAGAAGACTTCAAGAAGAAAATACGAGAAGAATGTAAGATTTGGAGCAACGCTTAATGGAGGCGAGGGGATTAGGCTGAGAAAGAGTTCGGATCCGAGATGATAGTGATTAGAATATGAATAATAACCCGGAGAGACAAACCCGGGTTGGAGAGGATGAGATCCAAAGAATACCAAACACGGGAGCAGCGGTGGACCCAAATCTGGGTAATGTTGGAAATGATAGTCGGAATACGAATAAGATTCCTCCTGCCCAAAATGCTAGGGCAAAGGGGAATGTGGAAAGAAACTGAGATAAAACACATTATAACCGGGATACCTAGCTTGTACACAATGTCCAAGGACATGTTGAACCTGGTCCTTACAGGAGGAAGTACAGAAGGGGGCGGTATAATAATAGCCCTTTTACTGGTGAGATACGTAATGCTCTGTTCCCAAAGGAGTTTGACTCAGCACACTTACCGAAATATGATGGAAGTCAGGATCCTCAGGTCCATATAGATGCCTTCGACACAGATATGTACATCCAGGGAATTGATGAACCTATCATATCCCGGATATTTGCTACGACCTTGACTGGAGCTGCGCAAGCACGGTTTTCAACCCTGCCTGCTAATTCCATTGGATCTTTTGAAGAATTTGGAGAAAAGTTCTTATTGAACTTTGCAACAAGCAAGAAACATCCGAAGTCCGAGTTTGCACTTGAAAAAATACGACAGAAACCCGGAGAGACTCTTCAAAAGTATTTGAATCGGTTTAAAGATGCTGCGTTGTAGGTACTAAGTTTGCACGAAAATGTCATGTGCATTTGATTATAGATGGGTTAGATGGAACATCTCGATTGACAAAGTCAATCTACAAGGATCCTGTAAGGACGTTAGATGAATTCAGAACCCGGTCAAAGAAATACTTGGAGCTCGAGCAAATGGAGATAGAAAATGCATTGGGTGAAAAAAACAAGAGGATGAGCCCAAAGAGGAGAAGCCCTGCCCCAAGAGAAAAAGAATAACCCGACAACAAAAAGAAGGATCCCTGTAGGAGAAACCCGGATGACAGATACCGGGTTGGAAGGTATGAAAAATACACTCCATTAAATGTTCCATTAAATGTTTCGCGATCTCAAATATGGAGGGAAGTGGCAATGACCTATATGAAAAGCAGAAAGACCCTGACCTATATTTGACAGAGGAGGCTTGGATAGGTCCAGATTTTGTGCTTTCCACAATGGACCTGGGCATACTACTGACCAATGATGGGACCTCAGAGATGCCATAGAGAAATTTGTCAGAGATGGAAAACTGCGTCAATATGTTATCAAGACGCAGGGATGGAAAAGTAATAAGAGAAAATCTATGGGCCGAAGTAGAAGCAAGAGCCCAGCTCCTGAAAAGAAAAAGAAAGAAGATAAAAACAAAAATGATGGTTCTAACAATGATGAATTCCAGAAAGCTGAGTTCGATTGTAACGTGATTAGCGGATCTCTTGGCAGAGGTGGAGATACTGCAAGTGCCAGAAGAAAATATCTAAGAGAAATGCTTTCCGTCAGGGACCGACCAAAGTTCAAGGAAGATCCCAGTAAACCAGATCCTCCTCTACTCTATTTCACTAAAGAGGACATGCAAGGCGTGCTACCAGGGCATGTAGATGGTCTGGTAATCACAGGAACCTTGGTTAATTGTCGAGTTAAAAAGATCTTCGTAAATGCAGGCAGCTGAGCAGATATCATCCTTTGGAATACTTTCAAAAGAATGAACCTAGATGAAGAAGATCTCAAGCCTTGTAAGACAACCCTGATAGCCTTCAATGGAGAAAGTACAGCTCCTAAAGGCTACATAGATCTCAGACTTACTCTGGGAACGAGAGAAACATTCAAATTAGAACGAGTAAGGTTTATTGTTGCCGACTTCCCCTTTCCAT